CACGATCTTTTGAAAGAAGGTTTTGTGAAAATTTGGCTAACCTCCAGCGTCTTCTAGATGTAATTAAGGCAAGAGGAGGCAATACGCGATATTGAAATGTTAATTAAAAATCTAAAACAAAATTAAAACAAATTTTATCTGTCTGTCTTTTTTCTTTTTTTGTTTTTTGTAATTTTCCTTAGCAATTTACATTTTTTTTTTTACTTTTTAGACAAAGACTCAATTATTAAACGTCAAAAAACGTAAATCTTTGATTAATATGTAAAATATATATAAAAATCAAGTTATATTACAAGTGGTTGGAATTTTTTGCCTGTCAGTGTATACATATAATCTAGCAAGGTCCTCAACACCTTTACATATTTGAATTCGTAAAAATCGTAAATAGTTATACTTGAAGTTTTTTCACCAATCGGTCACTCTCTTTTGTAGAAGGGGAGAAAAGGAAAACAAAGCGTCTAGTACGCTCTAAGTGTGTAGCATGCCCTCAAAAGATTAGACTGACACCCGAGTGTTATCGTACGATGTGTTTCAAATCCAAGAGGAAATGAAAAAAGAAAAAGACGAACTTTGCTATAATTAGTTTATATTTTCCTGTGTATTGAACCTATAATTTGGTCGTTACTGTTAATTTTGGTCAGCGTATCTTATCAACCCAGCGAGAATTGGCTGACCAAAATGATCGTAACGACCAATTATAATAAATGTGTTTCATTTTTATTTTATTTTTATCGAGATTATGCAGACATATGGAATGTTGGGGTTTATGATGAACGAAAGTAACACTTGCTAGATTTTCCATTAAATTCATTTTCGAGGCCGTTCTGGGGTTCAAAATTGACTCCATGAGAAGGCCATATAGACCTCGAAAATGTATTTAATGTAAAAACAAGCATGTTTGTTTTTGTGTATCAAAAGACTAAACATAACATTTTGGCTTTTTTATCGTATGTCTAAAATTATAGCCCTTCGATTGTACATCGTAGTTGTTTGGGCTTAGGTTTAGTGACTTTATGCACATATGTGTATTAAAGATTAAAAGTATTTAATTACTAAACCATTAATTAATTTCATTCAAAAAGGTCTAGTCTTGACATTACGGAATAAACTATTTAAATCATATAATTTAAATAACTTCAAATTTCTTCTTTAATAATATATTTTTATGTTCTGTATCATAAACAATACAAGTTTTTGGCCATTGTTTGGAAGGTTTTCGTATTCTTAAAACTTAACCAATTAAATTAATAATATTTACAGATTTTCATTAAAGACCAATTATTTTATTTTTTTCTGAATAACAGTGATACTAAATTTGCGTTTATGTGACTTTTTATTATAATATTTAATTACTAATTTATCATTATTTAGACATTTGTTGATTGATTTAAGAAGTAATCATACCTATGTTGTGAACCATAACTAGGGTAAATTTTCTTCATTACAATTGTTAATTGACAAAAACAAAAGTAAATTATATAAAAGTAAACATATTATTTTTACAATAAGTAATTACGCGTATATGTTATATTGTGTAAAAGTTTAGCTATAAATGGCACATCATGACTTAATTGTTATGATGAATGCTATGAATCATCAATCAATCGTGACTAATTTGCAGTTGATGGTCAATCTTGATATTCCATATATTCCTTCACATTAATACCTACGAATAAATTTCCCTTATAGAATATTTTTTATATTCGTTTATATATTAGAAGGACATTAGTAAAGAAAGGTAGCTGATGAATTGTCAAACGTAGTAATAGCCTGTAGAGCCGTGTGCCAACAATTCATTCATCATTCGGGCACTATTATGTAATTCGAGAGTTGATTCGAAATAAATATAAATCAATGACCCTCAATTTGTCGGATATTGCGTCCCATTAGACAGGTCCCCTCTGTATTTCTGAAGTCCGGGCGAAGGCCAGACTCTAGCCGGCTCTTATCTCCGCGGTAACGTACTTGAATTGTGCAATTTGAGATACTGTAGAAAGTTTCTTCACTTTACGACCTCGCAATTGAAAAACTATGGAAAAAAACTCGTTTCTTACAATTGAGAAATAACTATCGGCGTAAGCCGATTCCGTATTGGGAAGCTCAAAAATGAGAACCTCTGTTCGAATCGAAGACGGGCCGGCGTCGAGAGACAAACCGACCGTTTAATAATCTCTCGGTTTTCTTTTGAATCTAAATTTTCCAGGTCGTTATATTAAAGCTAGTGTTGTAGTCGGTCGTGGTCGTGGTGCCAGGGAGATAATCAATATGAACCACGCCTTCAGCATCCCAGGTCACGGTGGGCATACATCCCCCAGAAGCATCGTTCCTTAAAATTATTATAAGTGCGTTACCTACGAACCCGAACTTCTAATCGTATTTAATAAATAGAACATTTTACACTTTAAAGCAAAAATAAATAACCTACCTAAAAAATAACATACCTTTCGACATTTATTCACCTATTTCACATTTTAAATTTGTAAAAATAACCAATCAATAATTAAAAACCAAAGCATTACAGAATGAATTGACTTAAAAACATACGTTCTATTAATTAGATTAAATCAGATTTCCGTCGAGAATTATGATAATGTGGAAAAACAACATAGCTTACGACATAAAAGAAGCCAGTGATGAAATGGTGGATGTGGATAGACCATACATTACCTTTAGCTCTTTCTCTTTGCACCCTTGGCGAAAAGGGCTGTATCGCAGTCAAACAAATCATGGATAATCTCGATCCTATAAATGTTTTTCCCCCATAGTTTAATTAGATTAGTGAAAATTGATTGGGTGTTAACACGATGATTTGATTTTTATTTAAAAGAGTTTTTAACAGGTTATTAGAAGCTGTGTGATGTACTGGAAAGTCCTTAATCACCTGAACAAAAATGACAAGTAAAAAGAGATCAGTAACTATTTGTTGATCACCCAGCTTATTTTTGAACCAGTGAGAATGTTTGGAAATTTAGCTGGGAATTTTCGAATACATATATCGATGTCAAGTGTAGTTTCTTGAAATTTAGCAGGCAATTTTTCAGAATATTGTCGTAAAGTATATTGTCTTAAAATTGAGCAGGCAATTTTACAATATCTCATTGTAAAGTGTATCGCTTTAAAATTTAGCAGGAAATTTTAGAATACCTCGTTGTCGAGTGTAGTGTCTTGAAATTTTGTAGGCATTTGTTCAGCATATTGTCGTAAAGTATATGATCTTAAAATTGAGCAGGCAATTTTACAATATTTCGTTGTAATGTGTATTGCTCTAAAATTTAGCAAGCAATTTTAGAATATCTCGTTGTCAAGTGTATTGCTTTAAAATTTAGCACGCAATTTTAGAATACTCTTTGACAAGTGTAGTGTCTTGAAATTTTGCAGTATATTGTCGTATAGTATATTGTCTTAAAATTGAGTATGCAATTTTAGAATATCTCGTTGTAAAGTGTACTGCTTTAAAATTTAGCTGGCAATTTTAGATTATCTCGTTGTCAAGTATAGTGTTTAGAAATTTAGCTGGAAATTTAAGAATTTCTCGTTGTTAAGTGTAGTTTCTTTGAACCTATATTTTTTGGAATATTTCTTTGTGAAGTGTAGTGTCTTAAAATTTAGCTGGCGATTTTGTAATATCTCGTTTTAAAGTGTAATGTTTTGAAATGAGCTGCTAATTTAAAAATACTGCACAGTGTAAGGCGTTAATATTTATTTGACAATTTTAGAGTTTCTCGTCATATAGTGTAGTTAGTTAGTTCTTGAAATTTATTTGACATTTTTAGAATATATCATCATAAAAAGGAGGTTGGTGAACTAAAGCTACTAATTATAAAATTCCTCATCTCATCGAAACTGAATTTTATTGAAATTTTAAGTTCGTCAGTTCAAACCTTAAATAACACTTTTAGCAATCATTGACAAATGCACACAGTACGAACAGAAATTATTTGACCTGTTGTTTTCTATTATAAATAACAAACTACCAACCTGAGAAGGAGTCCAGTTCGGTTTGCTACCTAGTGGAAAGTTAGGAAAAATCTCATTTTAAAAAATATTTTACCGATGTTACCGTGAAAGGGGAAAGTAAGTGGTTGATATTTCGATCTTTGTCAAACAGTTACGTGACAAGTTGTGAATTATTTATCTAAGATTTTATTGCAAAATTCAGAACCGATTTTTACGTTTGAGGGAGTAAGCACCGTTTCTAAAGGATTTATCCTTACGAATGTTTATTCCTAAAGTTTATTTATAGTTTCAAAAATTAATATTACTTTAACAAATAAATACTTGGTACATCTTTTGAAAATTTTGCTTCATGTGAAAACTATTTTTTCTTTCTAATCACTCTTATTAGATGAAGTGTTTTAATTTGGAGAAAGAAGTTGTGACCGAATTACGCCGGCATTTTGAGATCAAAGATTTTTTTTTTGTATTGCTTTTCCGTAAGACATACAGCAATCGTCCGAGTAAAAATATTAACCTTAATCAAAGATGAAACAGTGATCGATTCTGAATTTGAGCCAGATGAATATATGTGTGCATGTTTATTGTATGAATTTGTGTGTATGTATATCTCAATATTTTGTATTCCTGATGTGTAAATAAATAGTAATATTTGTGTTATATATTTTACTTTATTTATTATTTCTTTATATTTTATATATTTTTATTTATTTATAAATTAAATAAATTATTAATAAAATACTGGTTGAAATATCGATCATCTAAAATTTTGGGTTAAAAAAAATTATAAACTGTTTTTTCCGTTATTGAAATGGTTTTAAGGCACAAAAATTTTTTACTTTAAAAATAATGTCACCCTATAGCATAGGTTAACATAGAGCTAATATAAAATTGCGATTATTTTATTCCAAATGTGGTGATTAATTACTTGAACTGAAACAAAAGACGGTGTCTATACCTTGACCTCAAGTTAGTTCCTCACAGTAGAAATTCCACTATTGTATTGTAAATATAATTTCTCTAAGGACACGTTGTTTGGTTTACAGATTACGTCTACAGACCCAAAGAGGCACGTCTGTGCAAGGCACTGCGTGATCAGGGCCGTCAGAACCGGCCCTCGAAACAGAAATGGAAACCGTCCGCGACTACCATCCGCCAGCCCAGCCTTTTCCCCATGGTAAGTTAAAATAAAATTCACAGATTTTATCCTTTTATGGGAATACAGAAATCATCTTTTGACCACTAAGATGGTTAGGTAACAATTATAAAATATGAAGTAAAATTGGATGCAATTTATTTTTTAAATTTTTTAATTAAACCAGCTATCATCGAATTCGATATAGAACTATTTCAACACAGATTCAAAGTTTATACAAGTAAAAGAGAAACTAAATCGTTGTACTCGACAGATGAAGAGTTAATCCATTAATTATCCAAGTCTGTTGCGTCATTTTCGGATTAGCCGTCGGGAGATCGATCTGCTGGGAGCATCTTGTAGTTCCACACAAAGACGTCTCGTGATGTGAAGGACCTAAAGTCGATTTCTTATTCGGTCTCGAACGCTGATCCCGAAAACCCTTTATTTTGTGAACACAATACAGATTATTACGTTCGGCCCGGGACAAAAAACACTTTGATGCCGAAGTGGGAGTCAGAAGTCGCCACTTGAGCACGTCTAGTTTTCTATGCAGTTTTATCCGGCAAGCCTTTTTGTATTAACTCACAAAATAAGCAGATTTTTTCCTTGAGTCAAGATGTTTAATTAATTATATATTCTAACTAATAATAAAAGCTCCCGGCGTCAGATTGTAAAATCTAGTACTTATTAAATTATCCTTTTAGTATCCCTATTCTTTCATGGTGGTATATATTTTAACAAANAAATATTGCAATTTTCATTTTGGTTACCATTTCAAAACGTTTTCATTGTATGTCTCATGTGATTCTTGTAAATTATTTACATGTCACATACACCACACAACACGCGAGACGAACACGTATAGAAAACGTTTTATTGATTTATCTCACAAGATTTGGTCTCAAGTACCACTCTCATATCTATTGTGAATGAGGGGCGATAGTGAGATAAACATAATACAGTTATGTTGGACCAGGTTTATCCGCTGTCACCATTTTAACCAAACTGTAGAAGATCAAATTTGGTTTTAATTAATTTGCATGTACTACCATCTAGTTCGAAATTAAGCGCTGATATAGCCCGTATAAAATCATTTGTACAGAAAAAAAAACATTTACTGCTTATAATTAATTCATTGCCCACGTATATAAATTATGTAAACAAGGTACATATAGATATATACATATTCGTTAAGATCAATTTTCCACAAATTAATTCCATTATTTATCCCCGATAGGCGAATTTAAAGGGAATGAGGTCGTTATATCGTATGAAGTAGGTCGTAGGTCGATTGATGATCGGGAGCGGATGAGCTATGCAACGGGCAAAGATTACGCGCTAAAGAGAAAAATTGCATTTGAGTTGTGTGTAGCGTCATTTTTATCTCGGCTTTTAAAGGAAGTGTCGGGCTACCATGTGACGAAAAGTCGATCCGATAAGATAAGATAAATGCTGAGGTTGTGGGCAAAAGTGAAGGTATGAAAAAGAAAAGGCTAGCACGGCTCGAGTGTCTAGCCGAGACTGGGACGGCAACTTCCTCGCAAACTCAATTAATAACACTGGTGTGTTTTGGTTTGCGCAGTGCGTCCTCACAACTGGGGAGGGGTTGATACTGTAACAGGTGGTCGCCGGTCGGGTCGATCTCACTCCACAGTTATTTTATTTGACTGACTGCCCCACTTGCAATCAGATGCCATTAGTATTCCCGGCGAGTCTTCCTCCCACTCTTTCTCTTCCCCTTCCTCTTCCTTCTACACACAACACGTCACACTCTAATTGTCTTCTCTAGGACACGTGTAATCGCACCCTGTATATTTTCACTCATGCGTCGCTCCCACATCGCATTCACGACCGGCCTTGTCTTCTTTGCTTCTTCCGCTCACCCTCGCTTTGTTCGGGATACAGTACCACAATTCAGACCTGGCATAACTCTCAAACGCTTCAGATCCTGGCATACCTTTCAAAGGAGACGTTCAGCATCATAAATCTTATCTTATCTAAAATCGTATCACTTCATCATTCTTATTGTATCACTAACTATGATCATCACAAGTCCTCATGTTTTTAATCATATCTTATAATAAATATATAGATATTAATATATAGATAATAAATATACAGAAATATATGCTATTGCTAACCTTTCTAACGATTTATCACCTCTACCAGTGTTCTATCATTCCCTAACCTCCGCTTATGATTTTCATCATATCTTATTACAAAGTAGGTTGAAGTGAACTAAATGCACTCAAAGACAAAAAACCGGACATTTGCATTTATTTCTTTTTTTCCATAATACGCGAGTGGCACAAGTGTCTCCTGTACAAATTAAAGCATCTTCCCTCTACATGATCCTCCGCTCTTATAAACTATTCAATAATGAATTGGGATATGTGTAATTCATTCTTATTCTATTAAATTTAATTAAATTAGCCGGCATGTAGGAACATATTTAGTTCGATAAAACAAAATAGAAAATACAAAACAAAAACAAACAAATCTTAATCTGCATTTTTAATATCGGATTTACTTAAGAATTGTAAACATGGAGATTACTCATTTTGTAAACGAACACCTTTTCTCGTCTTTTCTCTATTTAAACCCAGTTGTATTCTCTTTAACCGTGGAAAGACATCATAGTGAACCGCAAGTTCGCAACATTATCGTAAGAACGAGCACTAATGTACATTGAGGGAGTTCTAGAAGCTGTGTTCTCATTCGCTCCATTTCTTCGGGACTACTAAGTGTCAATCCAAAATAATGCTCGATCGCATGTACACGAGTTATCACCCAATACTTGGAGGATGTAGTGATTACCACAATTAATTGGCTAGTGCGTTCTCCTGTCATGAATCCTATAACACATGGGACATGATAAAGAGACTTGTTGGACGTCCAAGAAGACTTGAACAGTTTCAAACCGCTCTTGCTGAACAATGAGATTCTGTTTCACAAGAAGAATTCTGATTATTTACTTTACTTATATTATTATTATATTATTTACATATTTATTCGACTTAAGGCCTCCGAGAGGCCAGAGGGGGTGATACGCATTATTAAGACCAAAATTAATTAATAAATTGGTAGTTAAATTTTAATCTATCACTAAGTGATCGTTGTATCAGCTCACATACGATTTTTATAGTAAACCAGATCGTAGCTAACTCTTGTATAAATAGGGTGGTCACTAGCCCTATGGAAAGTATCTGTCTTTAGACATTTTTTAATAAAAAATTTCTTTTGCTTTCACTTATACTTGCTTTTCTTAATAAAACAGTTCGGTGGCGAACTCCCTCGAAAAGAAACCTGCAAAAACATACCATTGTCGATTTCCAATCTCTTTCTTTCCGATATGAAATTTGATGTGAGCCTTATTTCTGTTGTTTTTAATTCCCTTTGTTTTTTCACTTTCGGTTTTTAGAGTAAAACAGTTCTTAGGAGGTGTTCTTAATTCATTTGTAATGGTAACGTAATCAACTTCTGCAAAATTCTATCTTAGAAGTTCTCTATTTAAAAGAGCTTTAGATCTTATTTAACTGTTGGCATTTCGATTGCCTCCTTTACATGTACAAGCAGTGCCAAAACAAACATAAAAAATTAAATTGATTCTGTATTGGTCCATAACGTAACACGGCCTTTAACATCGGTTCAACTGATTTTCAATTAATTTACATTCATCATTTTATTCAAAGCCAGGTTAAAACATCGTACTCTCTCACCGGAATTTAACAATACTGTTTGAATTATTGCTTGGTCAAAAGTTTATAGGGTTTTATTGTGGAGAGTAAACATTAAAAGAAAAATTTGTTTTGTTTTATTTTCTAGAGGTTAAATAGATCCGAACTTGGGGGAAAACATTTCCATTGATGTCAAATGATGATGAACGTATGGTATGGTATGGTGGAAGGGATGCCGGGAAGCGGGGCTTGTATTCCCCAGGCACTGCAGCCTTCTGGCTTATTGTACCTTCCCAGTTCCCTAGTTTAGTCAATAGACTCAATCCTTCTTCTCAGAAGTATCAGGTCATTAACTGTTATTGCTGCAATTTGGTTCCCTGAGTCTTTTTCGTACGTTAGGTTAAACCTCCATTGAGCTGTTGCTTCGCATTCGAAGATGATATGAGTGGCTGTTTCCTCCTCCTCATTACATAATCTGCAAATGGGGTCATCGCTGTATATACCCATGTTGTGTAGATGTTTTCTCAGATACCAGTGACCGGTTAGTAGTCCCACCACTCCTCTGAGTTTTGACCCTCTCCAATTGCAGCAGTGTTTTTGCCAATTTTGGTGACGGTTGTTTCAGCATAAGTTTACTATGTCTAGCACCGCTAGAGTTTATCCACTTCTCTCTTTGTTTTGTTTGGATCCATTCTGCGATGGAGGATTCTATGTTTGTTTTTGTTTTCCCAAGGATAGGTTCTGGGCCTATGTGTGGTCTTGCAGATCCTCTTCTGGCCAGTTTGTCCGCCTCTTCGTTACCCAGAATTCCCCTGTGCCCTGGCACCCAAGATATCATCAGGTTGTTGTGTTTTCCCAGGTTTTGGAGATTTTGGATACATTCACTGACTAGTTTTGATGTAATTCTTTTACATGCCAATGTTTTAATAGCTGCTTGACTGTCTGATCTTATGAGGATTTTTTTGTCAGTGTAACCTCTTTTAAGATTTTCCAGGACACAAGCGTTGATGGCATGTATTTCTGCTTGAAAGACCGAAGTATACTTCCCTAATGAGTTTGATTGCTCATATTTTGGGCTTGTACAGAAAACGCCTGATCCGGTTCCTTCGTTTGTTTTGGAGCCATCCGTATACCATATCATTGTATCTGGTGCTTTCCTGTGTTCTTCCTCTCCTTTATAGTCTGTTGAGACTTTATAGGAAGTTGTGAAGATTGTTTCCGGGATCATGTAGTCAGTCCCCATTTCTAACAATGGGTGTCTGATTTTATTGATTATGGTTGTATGCCCGAATTGTTTGGTTCCTTTCCAATTTAATTGTTTTGGGAGCCTAAATGAACTTTTCCTATCCTCTCCTTGTATGA